TGTCAGTGGCTTACTACAACGGCTATCTCTTGCTCGTGTAACAGTTCAACATGGGTGTCCCTATTCTGTGGCTGGCTGTTCTCCATATGGTTGATTCAAAGACCTAGGCCCCTTCCATCTTGTGCTGCCGTCCCTGGGGCCCAGAGCCCCCAGCTTCCAGCTGGTAGAAGAGAGGATGCTTTCATTTCTTAAAACAACAGAAGTCACACATCACTTCCATTCACACTGGGTTGGTGCGAACGTCATTCTGGATGCAGGGGGCTGGGGAAACGTAGTCCCAGGCTGGCAGCTGCCTTGCACTGACAACTGGATGCTAAGGATGTGGCAGGCTTTTTGGGCCACTCTTTTGGCTAAAGCACCGCTTCCAAGTCGTAGGCAATACGGTTGAGGCTCCGAGGCGAATCACACAGCCGGCAAGTGACAGAGTTGGGGCTCGGTCTCTCTTGAAGCCTCGTGTTGTTCTCACATCTTGCGTCTCTCCTCTACCTATACCACAGGCTGTGCTGTCAAGTCTAAGGGGCTTCCCCAAAATGTTTAACTGTGCCAGGCTCCTATCATTTACGAAACTATTGATTCCAAACCGTAGTGAAAGCTGTGGGCGTATGGGTTCTAAGACACAGCCTCAGTCCTGCAGTCACTATTAGGCCCTACTTATTTCTAAAAACCCTGTGTACCAAGGATCACATGTATTAGTCTGTGAGGGCTGCTCTAATAAAAACCACACACTAAGAAGAAGAAGTTCGGCCTCAAAATTGGAGTGTCAGCTCCTGCTTGAGTTTCCAAGTGTGTTGGCATGCCTACAGTTTAACTCGCCAGTCCCTACAATCATGGAAGTCAAGCTTTGACATAAATCTCTCAACATATATTTTAAAGAAAGAAAAGAACCGCAGACCAGGTGGCTTAAACAATCCATGGTCTCGTAGTTCTGGAGGCTAGAAATCCAAGATCAAGGTGTCAGCAGGGTTGGTTCCTTCTGGGGGCTGAGAAGAAAATCTGCCCCAAACTTGTATCCTAGCTTCTTGTGGGTTGCTGGCAGTCTCTGGTGTTTCTTGGCTTATGGAAATGTCAACCCAGTCTCGGTCTCCATTCTCACATGGGGTTCTCCTAAGGGCACCAGTCATATTCGATTAGGGGTCACCCTGCTCTAGTGTGACTCATCCTAACTTAGCTAATTACATCAGCAACAGAATACAACAGGAAGTCCTCTTTCCAAATAAGGTCATGTTCTTCGGTAATAGAGGGTGGGACTTCAACAAATGAATCTTGGGGGTACACAATTCAACTTGTAACACTCTATTACCTTTGTGGCTTTTAAACCAATGACTTCCATATTTCTGTGAGAACTAATGTATCCCAAATGGGAACAAGTATACATCAAAAAGGGAGTAGCCCCTACTAGGGGCGCCTGGGTGGCTCAATCCGTTAAGCCTCCGACTTCGGCTCAGGTCATGATCTCCCAGTTCGTGGGAGCCTTCTATATATTTAGGAGCCTGCCCAGATTCTGTGTCTCTAAGTAACACAGGTTGCATTAGATACTTGCAAAGATTTTGCAACCGGAAAAGTTTTTGAGCTCTTTTCCCCTGATGTTGTGTCATCAAGTCAACCTTTTATTGGGCCGGGCCGGCAAAGCACGCTGAGACCGACTGCGATTTCCCACTCTTCTCCAGGAGTTCACAGGGTGGCGGCAGAAAGCGTTTTCCAATACTGTGTCAATGCCAGAATCAGGGTACAAGCACAAACAAGAAATGTTCCTGGAGGAGGCTGACTTAAAACCACAAGAGAATGCCCACTTGCCGCGGGTCAGGCAGGCATCGCTGCGCAAGGACCTGGGGTGCCACGGGGCTGCCGGCCCTCCTCCCTTGGCCCCATCGCCTTGCCCGTCCCGTCCAAGTGTACACACCCCTTCTCGGTTCCCTCTGGAACTTCTCTTCCTCCGCCTGCCTTTTAAGTTGCTGTTTCCCAGGGAGAGTTTTGTAACTCAGGATTATATCCAGACCCCTTTCTGGCAGAACAAGCTTTTTATTTTCCTCTTGCAAAATAAGGATATGTAACATACACGAAAGCCACGAATCAAAAGGAATCCACCATTCACTTTTTTAAAAAACATTACGCCTACTGAGCTCCCCCCCAGAGATAAACCAATACTGTAAATTCCTCCTGCCCCATTTCCTTTTCTTTCGCTATGCGGCGTCCTCAGCGCCACAACTGGCGAGAGGGAGCTGGGAGTCCCTGACAAGTTTCCCCCGGCTGGCAGGGACGCAACCACCCACCGGCATTTTAAAACAAACACTTCGCAGCAGCCCCTCGAAGCGCAGCAGCTTCGCAGAAGCCGCCAACACGGCAGCAACCCAACCCCCTGCGACCTCCCCCTCCCCCGCGGAAAGCCGCGCAAGCGCAGAGGCGGCGGGCGGGGCGGTGCAGACCGGCGGCTGGGCTCAGGCCGGTGACGTCATCCGGCGGCGCGAGCCGCGTGCACGTGACCGGGGCTCCAAAAAGGAGGCCTCCGACGCGGGGGTGGCGCGGTCGACTTAAGCAGCATGAGTGCGGTGGTTCTCCTCTTGCGCAGGGCGGCGGCGGCGCGTGCCCGCCGGGCCCTGGTGGCCTTCGCAGCGAGCCGGCGCCTGCTGCGCACTAGTCCGCCGAGCCCGGCTTTCGCCAAGGAGCTCTTCCTGGGCAAAATCGAGAAGGTAACGCCGAGCCCTGGTCGACCCTTGAGCTCTTGCCTCTCGCTTTTTGCCCTTTAGCAGAAAAGAGGGGTCGGAGTGAGTGAGAGTCCCCATACCTGGCTGACATATATACCCGTCGGGCGGCGGGGGTGGAGGGGCGTGCTAAAGTTCCCAAGTTCCTGAGCCCCGCTGGAACCTTTCCAGGGAAGGGGAAGAGTCCCGGGGACGGGGTCCTGAGAATCCATCTGTGGTTGTGACGTATGTTCCAGCTAATTCTTGTTAGCTCAATTTGGGAAACCCTAGGCGAGGTGGTCACTCGACTCGGCGTTCTGGCCCCGGAATGTGCGGTGGCTCCTATCTGATTCCTAAAACACAGCTCAGACCCTGGCGCTCTTCTGTCCTCTTCCAGGGGCCCCTTAGCTTTCACGGCTTGAGTTCCAGCGCGTCCCTCTGTCACTCAGGCTCCCAGGCTCCCCGGCAGTCTGGCTTCAAGTTGCCTTCCCCATCCCTTCCCTTCCATAGGTCGTACAACCCTGTCAGCAGTAACAGCTACATTATCAAGCACTCACTGTCCTCTTAGGGATTTGACCTTGGTCCTTGGTCCTGTAACTTTGAGCCTCAGTGCTTTCAGCCTTAAAGTGGAGCTAGTGATGTGTGCTGTCTCACACAGATGTGTTGTAAAGTGACATTTATAGTGTGTGGAAATGCTTTGTAAACTGTCAGGTACCGTGCTGATGCAAGAGGCAGCAGGGTAGGTAATTAATGCCGGCTTCACTCACCACTTGGATTAGTCACTTCACTTTCCCGTGCCTGAGTGTGCTAATCTACAAAATAGTAAAAGTAGTACTTGCCCACTCCTAAAAGTGCAGTGTAAAGCAGACATTTGTGTCAAATGCTTTGAGGTAGGCTGAAATGTTGGCTGATACTGTATTATTTAAAGTTACTCCCTGGTGTTTTCTTTTAGACTGTTCCTCTAATCAGGCATTACAGTTGCAGAAGCTGAAATTCAGAGTGGTTTGCCCTGCTAGGAAGTACAAACCCAGGTTTTAACATTTGAGAAACCATTTTTCCCAGAACCTGGGGCCATTGGGCACTCAGCCCTGGGATGTCATGCCTTCCAGCACACGAGTGAAAAAACCCCGAATCTTTCATGCATCTCTTTCTCGAAGCCTCTTGTACCACCTCCCCTGTCTTCACACCCACCTGTCAACTTTGCTTCTTGTTTCACTGAGAAAGTACATACAGTCAGGTGAGAACCTCCGCCACATTTACCCCTCTTCCCCACACATGCCCATACGGTCTACGCTCTTTCTGTGGATGAACTATCTACTCTTGGCAAAGACCAACCTCATCACTAGATCCCCTGCCTTCTCACCTACTCAGGGGCATTCATTGATCCAGTAATTCTCTCCTTTCTCATCTACATCAGTGATTGTTTCCTCTCTGCTGTGTCTTGCCCCCATACCATTCAGGCTTCTGTCCTTAACAATCTGCTAAAACTGCTCTCCTGCATCAGTGGTGACCTCCCTGTTGTCAAATCTAGTGGTATTTTCTCATCTTACTTGATCCATCTCTGGCATTTGACACAGTTCATCACTCCTGGCTTCTAAAAAAAAAAAAAAAAAAAAAAAAAAAAAATCCCTTCTGGCTTTTCTGTTTACTTCGTTGGCTAATGCTTCTCTGTCGCTTTTCCTGGTTCTTTCTTGGCTCCTTACCCTGTAAACAGTGGCCAGTCTGACTAGCCCAGTCAGAGTTGGGAATTTTTTTTTTCTTTTTGTCTAGGTTTTTAATTTTAGTTCCAGTATAGTTAACATGCGGTGTTATGTTAGTTTCAAGTGTACAATACAGTGATTCAGCAGTTCTCATCATTACTCAGTTCTCATCATGGTAAATGTACACTTTAATTCCCATCACCTATTTTAACCATCCCCCCTACCTACCTCCCCTGTAGTAACCATCCGTTTAGTCTCTGTAGTTCAGAGTCTTTTTCTTAGTTTGCGTCTTTCTCTTGTTTCCCTTCGCTCATTTGTTTTGTTTCTTAAATTCCACATGAGTGAAATCATATGGCATTTGTCTTTCTCTGGCTTATTTCACTTAGCATAATACTCTCTAGCTCCATCCATGTTGCCAATAGCAAGATTTCATTTTCTTATGGGTGAATAATATTTCATTGTACACATATGCCACATCTTTTTCCATTCAACTGTCGATGGGCACTTGGGCTGCTTCCATAAGTTGGCCATTGTAAGTAATGCTGCAATAAATACAGGGTTGTGTGTATCTTTTTGAATTAGTGTTTTTGTATATTTTGGGTAAATCCCCAGTAGTTCGATTACTGGATTGTAGGGTGGTCCTATTTTTAACCTTTTTTTTTTTTTTTTTTTTTTTTTTTTTTTTTTTTTAAGTAATCTCTATACCAAATGTGGGCTTGAATTCATGACCCCAAGGTCACGAGTCAGATGCTCTACCAACAGAGTCAGCCAGACTCCCCTAACTTTGTATTTTTTTATTATTTTTTTTTAATTACAGTATAGTTAACACAACACTGTTATATTAGTTTCAGGTGTATCTTTTTTCTTTTTTTTTTAGTTGAAGCATAGTTGACACACAACGTTACATTAGTTGCAGGTGTACAACAAAGTGATTTGACAAGTCTATATTTAGGCTCGTCACAAGTGTAGCTGCCATCTGTCACCATACAACAGTGTTAGAATACCATTGGCCATGTTCCCTTTGCCGTACCTTTCATCCCTGGAAACCTATACCTCCCACTCCTCTTCACCTATTTGGCCCATTCTCCTATCTCCTTCTCTGGCACCCTTTAGTTCTCTGTATTTATGGGTCTGTTTTTCAGAGTTGGAGTTTTCTGAGACTCCGTCTATAGACTTCTCTTTTTATCCACAATTCTTCCTTTAATCTAATTTAGTATTAGGTTTTAACACGGTTTGAATATCCTGGGCGCCATGGCGAGGTCGTTGTGCTTGTCCGACCTCAGCCAGGTCACCATCTCTGCGGAATCAGGAGTTCGAAAGCCCGCGGGCTGGCTCTGGTTGATGGTCTGGGAGCCTGGAGCCTGTTTCCATTCTGCTCCCCTCTCTACCCTCCCCTGCTCATTATGCCTGTCTCTCTCTGTCCCAAAAATAAATAAAAACGTTGAAAAAAAAATTAAAAAAAAAAATATCAATAACTGGGGGGCGCCATGACTCCAGCTGGTGTTAGCCAGACTTCAGCTTAGGTCATGATCTCACGGTTCGTGAGTTTGAGCCTGGCTTCCCTGTACTGATGTGCTCAGAGCCTGGCCTGTCACTTCAGATTCTGTGTCTCCCTCTCTCTCTGCTCCTACCCCACTCACACTCTCTCTCACAAAAATAAATAAACATTAAAAAAAAATTAAATACTGTCAATATCCTGGTGACTCAGATCTATTTCTCCAGTTCAGACTTACTGAACTCTAGGCTCTTGATCTCTGCCTTTATACTCAAAAGCTCCACTTAGATGTCTAATATGCACCTCAGATTTAGCATACTAAAATTGAGTTCCTGGTCTTTCCACCCAATCTTATTCCTCCCACCAGTCCTCTTTATCATAGATGGTGGGGCCTCTGTTCCACTTGTTCAGGCCAAACGCCTGGAGTCTCCTGTGATGCCTCTTATTCTCGTAATCCACATCTAAGCCAACAGCAAATCCTGTTTTCTCTACTTTCGGGATATATTTAGAATGTGACCACTTTTAAGCCCTTCCACTGCTACTGCCCTGATTCAGGCCAACCTCCTCTCTCACAGCATCATTGGGGTTTGAGCAGAAACATAGCATCTGAGATGCTAAGAATCTCAGAAGAGAGAAAAACCTTCAAGATCCTCTAGGCCTGTAGCTGTCACACTGCCCGCAGTTCGACCCTTGCTATTCAAGGAAGTGTCCCAGCGGCTACTGCAGGGGACCAGTGGAGAGTCGAATGGGAGGCGTGTGGGTGACCTCCCCATCCCCCACCACAGCAGCTTCGCTTTTACCTGTTTTTCATATTTGGCTTCTGTAGTAGATTTATTTGAAAAACAGGTTCCACTGCTTTAAGAATGTTAAAACTGCTGAATCGAAATTAAGCCTAACATCTATAAGGCACCCCATTAGGTTTTTGAACTTTGCTATCAGAGATCTGTTCTTAAATGCACGTGAGATCTCTCTTCCTGTAGCAGTCCTGCAAATCCAGATCCAAAGGGTTTTGGTTATAGGTGCGGCCAGTTAGCTCAGGCTGTTCTCTTGCTCACTGGTACCAGCACTGAATAATCTTCCTCTAGCACAGCCTAATGCACAAGGCCCACAGGAACTAATGAGGCTGTGAAGGGCCTGGTTTGAGCCTCTAGATGCTCTGCTAAGCAACCGGTTTTGTTCTGAGACGATGAAAATCTCAGCGTTTTTTCCTTCTAGACCATCTTGAGGGCAGAGTAAGGGATGGCCTGGGGGCGGGGGACAGGAATTCCTCTAAGTCTGCTGTCATTTTTGGATAGGGATCCACCACAAGCCTGGAATCATGGGTCCTGAGAGGAGAGAACAGACCTGGGAGCATGTTACTAGAGCGGACAGGCTTCAGTGGCTGATGAGCCACACGAGAGGCTGGAGGGGGAAGACTGAGGACTCCTCTGCTTTGAAGACCTTTCTTGAACACTTGGTGGGAGGTGCCGTGAGGAGAGGCAGGGCTCCTGGAGGCTGGCAGCCTGTGATCGGCAACCTCACTTCTCAAGTCCCAAGTACTTGTGCTGTGCTGGCAGCTGAGGGGTAGCAGGAGCCCAGAAAGCCAGAGGGGCTAAGAGCACAGCAGGAGATTTTAGGCAGTATATGGTGACGACCCAGTGAGGAATCCTAGACCGGCCGGAAACATTGGGTACTTGACAGTTTGAGACAGAGACTTGAAGCTCAGCTGTTTTCCAGGCTGTGAGGCGGAGACCAGAGCAGAGCCAGTATCTCATATGGATAATCAGTTACTTTGGGTTCCAGGATACACCTTGTCTCTTGAGAGCCTCACCTTCTGAAGTGTCCTCTGTAACAGAAGAGAAACTGACACTGAGAAAGGCCAAGTCGCACATGTAAGTGGCAGAGCCGGAGTTGAATTCAGGCTGATTTGGCTCACCCTGCAGTGGCCCTCCCTACAGGTAGCAGGTGTTATCAAACAGGAGGGATGGAGGCTGGCGTACGCAGCCAGGTGGGAACCTGGAGGGATGTGCGGCCTTGTCACCACAGTGTATTCTTGTCGGCGTAACATCTTTGAACTCACAAAATAACCAGTGTAGAATTTTACGTATCAGTAGAGAGCTTTCCCGTCTATTCCTTTTCACAATCCTCATGACACCATTGAGTAAATACTACCTGCATGTTATGGATGGCATATGAAGAGGTGAAGGGGGTTGGCCAAGACCACCCAGTTAGCAGGCTGCAAAGCAGGGAACAAAACCCAAGGCTTTGAAGTGTTGGGGCCCTTTGCTTTGTGGGACACTCCACATAACTTGTTGCTGATTGGGAAAGCCGATCCAAATCCAGAATAAACCTGCTCAAGTTGGAGGGAGGATCTCCATGGCTGGTGGAGTCCTGCGCACAACTCCTGTTCTAGAATTTGCATTCTGACTTCTTCAGTGAGTAAGGCCTCACCTACTGGACACAGAATCTACCAACTGTTTCCTACCTCTGCCTTTTTTTTTTTTTTTTTTTTTTTTTTTTTGAGAGCGGGGGGGGGAGGGTGGAGCAGAGAGAGAGCATGAGAATCTCCAGCAGGCTCCACACTCCGTGCAGGATCATGCCCTGAGCCAAAAGAGTCAGAGTCCAACCAACTGAGCCACCCCGGCGCCCTGTTTCCTCCCCTTTTGACTGATATTACCACTCTGGGAGGTTGTTAACAATTAAATTTTTAGTCAATGTTTATCATTTTTAGAAAGAAGTTTTCCCATTTCCAGAAGTTAGCCAAGATGAACTTAATGAAATCAATCAGTTTGTGGGACCTGTAGAAAAATTCTTCACTGAAGAGGGTATGTATGATCTTTATCGTTACTCATTTCCATTTTAAGGATGGTTGTTTAGATATTTACATTAGAAGCAATACTCATATGGGAGCTGTCTTGAATATCATTAATCATGGAGAAATAATATCTATTGATAATATTTTGCTTTAAGAATCATCCCAGTTTATAAATGCTATTTAATTACAAGGCATCTAGTTTAGTGCTTCTCGATGTTTCTGTGATGAAGGATCACTGTTAAACATTTCCAAACTGTTGCAGACCAACACTTTCATAAACTATAATAAAATGAACAACTAGAAAAATGAAAAGAAAAATAACCAAAGACCTATAGAATATAAATCCATTGATCATGTGCTTGGTTGTGTGGCACATTTACACACAAAAATGCTGTAAATGTTTTTAAAGATTTACTCTCTATTAGCTCATTAGGAACCGGGAATAGTCCGGCAGCCTGCAGAGCTCAGGTTTTGACAGCCCCAGTACAGCCTGCGGGATGCCTCCCTTAGAGCTGGCAGCC